TTGAAACAAAGGCAACGTCTTGTGATCAAATAATGCGAAAATTTATTACAGGTACAAAGTCAATATGTGACATTTCAGCTGAAATGAGAATTTGTGTAAAACAATTATTTTGGGCTAGATTTGCTTTCGGCAGGTTGCCGGATAAACTCATATTGACTTGTGTATCATTGATAAGTAAGCGGGTTCTTTTTTTCCCCTTCCCATTACATTGAAGTACAATATATGGTTTTATATTTCATTGTGTTTAAATAAGTTGATCCAAAAATCGAATAGAACGCACTGTGCAAACATACAACAATTTCAACCAATTTTTGAATGTTAAATTTCGAAACAACAGCACGCTGCCGCTCTATGGATTACATTGTTCTGCGCGCTCACATGCATGAGTACAAAGCGTATAATAGAGAAAGAGTGAGAGCGGACGCGCGAGAGTGAAAGAGAGAGAGAGAAAGGGAAAGAAACTGTATGCTGAATTCAATGGATTTACGAGCCAAGCTTGTTGCTGCAAATGAACAACATCATTCGCGTTTTAGATTATTAGAAAAGTTATGTATTGTTTGCGGCTTTGTTTACCCATTATTATTATTATTGTTATTATTGTTTTCGCCCGATTCCGTTTGCTTTTGATCGCGCGTCGAGAACAAGTGTGTGCTCGCGCGAACAATTTGAAACTTGGCACTGCCATTGAGTCGATATCGGTGTATGATTTTTAGTATACACGATTCGTTTGAAGTGTTTGGGCGCTGAATTGTTGCCCATGACCGTGCCAGTGCAAAACAGTGTATGTGCAACACAAATCTCTGCAAATGCACTTAACAACTAGCAAGAAGAGCAGCGAAGAAGATGAAAATAAATAAAAACATTGTAACATAGCTTCAATTACGTTGACAATTGTGCATATTGAGCCGGTTGTGACATATCGGTTAAAATTTCTTGTTATTGTTGTACGCTTTCGTTTCGGTTTGCACTTTTAATCTAATAAACAAAACTGAAAAAAAAGCGGAATCGAAAACCACACACACCCATCAATCTGGCGTTTATTTACTTTTGAGTGAATTGAGGACAAAGAAAGGTTGCTAATTAAATAAGGTTCTGACTGAAATTGTGAAAAGATAATAAAGAACATCCAAATAAAATCTATTTATACCGCAAAACAAAAAACAAACAAAAAACATTGAAATACAAAAAGAGAAATTGCGCTTTTTTATTACATCAGAAAAAATTCGGTCGAGTAATTATATTTCGTTCATTTACACATTAGAATTGAATGGAAATGTGATAAATAAAAGCCCAGGAAGAGATAAGATAATAACGATACACAAACATCGTCGGCGAAGTTGTCGTTATTGTTGTTATTCATTGCGAAATATTTTTTGAAGAGTACACAGTGAGACTATTCATTTTTGCAGGTAGGTTAAATTCTGCCCCTCACCTTCAACACTTTATTCATGCTTACAAAGTTTTGTTGTGGTTGTTGTTGTTGTTTTTTTGTCTCAATTCATTGCCAGCTGAATAGAGGAGTACACTTTGAGAGCATTGTTATGGTCTTTGTTTCGGTGTGAATTGATCAAGTTACTATGATTTGCATATTTTTCAATAAAATTTCATCATTGTAATTTTGGTGTATGGAATGGCACATCAAGCCCATTATTGCCTATTCAAATGTGAAACAACAATTAAATCGTTGACAGAGTTCATGATTTTAATTCAACTCACGGAAATGTGGTATAGTTTATTGGCCAGCAGTGATCATTTAGAGGTCATGGCATCATATTGATTTACATTAGAACCTTATTGAGATCTTAAAACCTTTCGCTTTATTTTGATTTTTTCTCTATCAAAAAAAAAATCGCGAAACTTCTGTTTTTCACTAAACTTTGTCTCTCTTCTGTATCCAACAAGAAAACCCGCCCCACGAAATATGGCGTAATGTTTTAAAGTGGAGAAGCCATATGGAAATAATTCTTAAAAAGAAATACAATTCTTGAATGTTTCTCATTCAATCGATTGTGTTGTTGCGATTCTCTTGTTCAATGGGAAATAATTGTACATGAGAACAAATGCATTTGGAATTCTCATTGAAATTCTAAATTTAATTAAACAGACGGTCGATCGGCAGTCACATATGTATTGCTGTTGTTGTTTCTTGTTTGTTTGTTTATATTCGCAACGCTACACTCGGTTCATCGTCGATCGTGCATTATATTATTATCGACCATCACATGGAATTGCCAATAGACATAATAATAACAATTAATCGGGCAATTAAACATTATGATTCTCACTGGTTTTTTTTTCTCATCCAATTTTACTCGATTGAAACTAGTTGCCAATGATCCTTATTGCCAATTTGACTATTCAAGTGTTTATTTACTGCATTGTTCAACCTTATTAGTTAAATTCATTTTAATATCAAATGTATAGTTTTCACATTGCACTCGTGCATTCCAAATTAATTCATTCGCCAGACCGACGGATTGTCTTCATATAGGTACTTATTTGATCGACAACGAAACTTTTAGTTGCCATCAATTTTTGATTGATTCAATGAGACTTTTGAAATGCATTTAATCGCTTCGGATTTCATGCTGCACATTTTTACATCAAAATAAAGACATATTTTGTCATATATAACCATTTAAAGTGTAAAATAATCTTAAAATGGACTTTTCATTATTTTTGCGCATTTTTGAATGTACAGTAGATTTGATATGAATTTTCATGAGCCGGTTGCTTTCTCACGCCTATAAGAGTCAATGCATGTGCAAAAGCGATTGAACATTGGTGCACATTTTGCATACAAAACAAAATGAATTAAAGTTTGTGATTAAACAATGTGGTCTGTTTGGAATTTTAACCCTTCTGCGGACACGGTGGGTTTATTTGATCCAGATCTTTTTCTCAAAAGTCGTAATTCCAAAATAATATTTGTAGAGGTATTCAAATCCATTCTAGGGGGTTGATTCGACCCCACAGACCTGCGGTCAGTAGCTATGTCTGTAGGTATAGTTCATATCGGGGTAACCTCTGCTCACTTTTATGATTTAACGTTTGATGTGAAAACAAAGTAACTAGAAATGGCGTGCAGAAAAGGCATTTTTTTCGTACGATATCAAATAATATTTTAGATGCTATAAAGTAGCTTCCGTTCGATTATTTGAAGTGATCCGTTACTGATTGCGTTGTGTATGCAGGAACCTGGCCTAAAACATAAAAATTTGTATAATTTACTGTTTGAAGTGGAATGTTACATCACGAAATGCGCGTGTATATTCATAAGAATAAAATCGACATTATCAGTAAATTTTGAACCATACACAATACAGTTTGCATTGATTGCGTGCCAAACGCTCATTTTATTTATTCCCCTTTTTTCGTCCGCCGATAAAAAATTCAGTGAATGAAAATTTCAATTGAATGCGGAGATAATTGATGACAATTGTCGATTCATAAAAATGGAATCTCTTTACTTCGATAATAAACACAAAAAAAAACAATCAACAAACAACAATGGGCGTTATTAATTCGGTAGCTTTTACTTTTTATAAAAAAAAAAAAAAAAAAAAAAATCGATTCCGTGTAAGAGACTCATAATTTTATTTTTTTATCAAGTGCATATTCATTGTTGCTATACGAAAAATCTGTCATCGCCATTTGGATTTAGTTCGGTGTGAAATGAATCGAGAAAATTGGTATGATCAACACAGAATGCGCTTTTTTTAAATCCAATCAACATGATTCGATACGTCAATCAATTAAAATGCAATAATACTCTTTTTTTGTATTTGCCGCAGTTATAAATTGGCGCAAGTTCAAATTCAAAATCAAACACAATATACATTAACGGCGGTGTGGATGATTATTATTCAAATATTTGTATTAAACTTTCATTGCGCAAACAAATCTAAACTAAACACTAATAAGTAGAATTTCCAATAAAAAACCACGCTCCTCTTTTAACGCATTCAAATGTCGTGACGTGCATCGCTGTTTAAAGATTTATCGGCGCTGGAATTAGATTAACTCATTTCCAGTACATAGTATCATTGTTGCCTGAACAAATTGGCATTTTTTGCAAATGAATTGATCAACAATGGTACCTGATGAAACACCTTTTTTTGCTCAAACAAAACCAGTGGAATCAATTTGAAATAACTTCTTCGAATTGAGCGAAAAAAAGTTACGTAGATAGAGAGAACTAGAGATTGATGTTAATATTGGCATGTGAATAGCAAAACAATAGAATGACATAATTTTCTAGACGTTCTATTATATTGAGCGATTAATATTAGTATTCTATGGTTTTGTGGTGAACTAATATTTGGATAGGGTTTGGTATGGTTTAAATGCGCTGTTTTCATGCATGCTTCAATTCATTTGAAAAAATGATTAACAGAAATATAATTATTTATGACATTAATGTTTGATGTCAGATTTCTAGGAGGAGGTGTTTTCAGAAAAAGAGAGATATTTTTCACATAAAATGTGTAATATACTCTAAATGAAGTAAATTGTTCATTGGGATTTTGAAATTCGTATCAAATTCGAAATTTTGAGAACAAAAAAAAGATTTTGCAAATAGGCCTTAAAATTTTTTTTATCTTTGTACACTTCCGATTTTTTTTTGTACAGTAAAGTACACACCTTGTACAGATGATTACAGCTTATTGATCATAAAAAAATGAGGTCGCGAAATTTTGAGTACATTGCCATTTTTATCTAGTGTGAATTCGTTCATTCCGCCAGGAAAAGATGAACTTCGCTGAATTCGCCAATTAAATTAAGTGAGTGAATTTTGATTCAACTTGAGTCATGGCTGCACCTATATTACTCAAGTGTTACTGCGTCTTTTTATTTAAAACCGATATTTTCATCGATATGTAAAAATGCGCAGGAAATTAATATCAGAGATGTTTTTTTTATTGAAATGCTTTTTTTTCTCTTAATTTATGTTATTGAATGGAAAATATGCTATATTCAAAAAGAAAATCTATGTTTGATTATAAAATTCTGCGAAGAGAAATGAATTTACATTTAGTATTTATCCCATACAAAAAGTGTGCGATGCGCCCGTTGCTTAATAATAATTAAAACAATTACAATTAGAAAACTAACAACAGCAATTGTGACGACCAGTGCAATTTCGCCATTGTTATTGACCGTTGCGTGACTGAATGATTTGACCCGTTGAAAATCTGTCGGCATCACAACACGAAATGATATATTCGATACATCGACTAGAGGCTCTGTTGCTTTATCAACGTTTGTATCATTTGCAATTTGACGTCGAATTCGGTTCGACGTAATGTGCGATTGATCGTCATCACAATTGATGTGATTCTATAAAAAGAAACAAGAATTGATGTGATTCAAAAAACGTTTTTAAAATAAATATTCTGAAAACATACCAAATGGCAATCACGTTGATCGATGCATCCAATAATTCGTACAGTCATAATCATTTCATCGCCACTTTTCATACCTTGAAACATGACCGCACGAAA